TTGTCAGCGATTCTCCATTCACGGGCTACGGTCACTTTTGTGAGACTCCCATTTTGTTCAGCCACCCGGTGTATTGCGTTTTATTAATACAGTAGAGGTATACGAGTATATTTGTAATTGTTTTCTCTTTTTACCATTTTGCGAGATGTTTGTTGTTATTCAGGGAAATAGATTATTGTATATGCGGGACAGCCGAGACGACGGAGCACCGTAACGAATTTTACACTCAGGCGAAAACCGTCCGGATACGAATTTACGGTCAGGCAGAAACGTCTGGATGCCAAATGTACATTCATGACTCATCCGAAAATCTTCGGCAATACTAATGCATAGCAAAATTTGGAAATAATTATGAAAAAATACTAGGACGTTTCCGTATAAAAAGTTTTATATTTATAAGCCTTTACATGCAGAATTTGAAGAAGATCGGTCCAAATTCCAAGAATAAGAATTTGGTACTTAGAAGTTTCTCAATAACCGATCACCTTTGTATTCGTTTTTATCACCCACGTGTTTAGATTTCACCAGGGTACAAAAGGGTTTTTACAACGAAACCCAGAAAATTACTTCTTAAATATTACGAAAGCTTGAATTTCAAATTCTTGTACCTTAATGCATTTTTTTACGTGCCTTTAGAATATTTTTACGCGTGAAATTCATGAATGTATTAGCAATTGTCGCATCTTTTATCTAAAGGTCACATGCTAAGCAGTACCAATTAGGTACCTTCAAAAAATTCGATTGCGCGGGTGATTAGTTGTGCGAAATATACAGCGAAAGTGATCGGATGGTGAGAGCAGTTTAATTTTGGCTACACCATGTTTGGGAATGCGCGACATCGAGAGTTTCCGTGGATGTGCAAGAATTTAATACCATGTACTGGTTACTTCCGTAAGTTCCGTTATAAATCCTGTCACGAAATTGCTTCCAGTAAGCCGGACTATCGAAGTACTGAAGATTAATGAGCGCAGCACTTAATTATGTGTGCTTTACAGCACTTAATTATGTGCTTTATACTGGCCGGCAACTCTTACCGCTCGATTATGCGGAAAAAACAAGCTGCAGCGAGAAATCGCGTTAACATTATTTGACGCTACCCATCACCTGTGAAACAGGTTATTAACCAACACAATTACGAGTATTACGGACCATGCAGTGCTCGTGCAGACACGAGTTGCGGCACGAATAAACTGGAAATTACGAGTATACGTTACGCTGTACTGGAATCACTTTGGCGTGAATCCATAAAAACAGTTGGCAGCCTTTTAAGAATTCTAACGAAGAAACTACCTATATACCTACCTCTTAATTCTACCTATATAGCTGAATGATTAGTGTTTTTATCGGTGCTACTGTGAAATGAACAACAGCATTAGCGGAGAATACGCTTGTCCGTTTCCGGAGGCGGTTGACGCCGTATAAAAATACACAACGAATACCGGTTGCAATCATTTAGTTTCTAGTACAATTTTGGATTACACAGAGCTCAAATCTCATCTATAAAACGCCGTCTCGCTTCGCTCGTCCGTTGTTTAGTGTCTTCTATAAATCTGCAATACGCCATGATGGCTTCATCCGCCAGCAACGGTTCGTTGGGATTTCTCTGCTCCCTGGCCGAGAAGCAGTACCCGTGTGGATTGTGGATTGTCTGCAACCTCCCGACGATTATCGGCGTGGTGGGCGGTGCCCTGTTGGGCTGGTTGATTTACCCGTACCTGGAGCACTTCCTCGAGCGGGACGATAAAAAGGTAGCCGATTCACCAGAGTTGGAGTCCTTGTGCGCAACGCCCAGCCAGCTTCGCCTGGTCCGCCAGTGCAGCGAGACGTGGGCGCGGCTGGACGCTGAGGATCAGGAGCGGGCGGCGTGCTTCCGGGCGGAAGTGCTGCACGTCTGCGCGCGCTATCAGGAGCGCGGGGCCGGGGTGCGCGCCTTCCTGGAGATGACCGCGGACTGGGCGGAAGCAGACGATGCGGCACGCTAGCGCCGTGGCTGGAACAGTGTACATGCTTCGTGTTAACGCATATTGCGCGAAGAAGCGATTCTCTGTTCGAACCCGGTTTATTAATACCTGTATGCGTATTGAATACGCGTTCTGTTTGTACAGTGTTTGTTGATTAATTTTGTGAATAATTTTTTAACCGCGTACTTTGTACTGACTGGCAGATATCCCCTTTCCTTTTACGGTCCTAACAGCATGCTCTACAGATTTACAGCTAATAAAAGGTCATCCACTCACATAATACGATCGGTTGATAACGAGGCTTTTGGTACCTCTGATTGCATTTAAACCTTTTGGAATATTCTAACAGCCATTCTGTTCCCGTGGATGTATGTACCCGAAATTGGTGCTATGGACCGGGCCAAATCGCTTAATGCGTCTTCTTCATAAATTCATCATGTTAACCCAAAAATTCTAAATGCTGAAAGGTTGTTTTTAACGGTTACACTGTACACACGCACAATGCTGAATTAAGTGATGATTCATGTACGCGTACTTGTATTAATGTCTTGGGTATGCTGTGCGATTGTGTGCGTAGCGCTGGACAGTGAAGGTCCCTGGTGTTGCTACGCTTTCTTAGTTAGTAGTTTGCGCCTTCACTAGCGGATAATAATTAGGATTATTATAACGATATATAGGTATGACTGAAAGGAAGGTTGTTATTACTTTTTACTACCATTTTTAATTCAATTTCTTACGAGTGCGCAATAAGTGTTTTGTTCGTACGTATGTACAATACGCGCGACGTCGAAATAGGTAAGCTGGCAGGGGGAAGATAAAGGGCGAGCAAAAAGAATGGAGGCCTGCCCACCAGGTGCAGATTGTGCACTTCTGCAAAATTTCTTAAGCACTCACCTTGAAAGTATAAATGGTTAGCGCGGTCTTATTTTCAGCTTTCACTCAAAGCTTCTACAATACACCAAATTTATCGGGCACTCTCGGTTAAAGTTACGTTTGCGTCAGCGAAAAAGTATCGGTAAAGTATGCCAAAAGTGTATGACTGTAACAGTAAGTGAGGGGTCCAGAAAACTCACCAGGGCTCGGTCACCACCTCCCCCCTCAGAAAAATCTCACCTTTTGTTTGAAGACACAATTGGTATGGGGAACACTTAAAAAATACTTCATCGACAATGGTCCAGTGGGCGTGGCCAAACACGAATTTATTTAACGGGCGACATTATTGCATGTATTGCGTACTGCCGTATTGCTACGCATATGGTGTTACAGATTACTCATTACACTGATAAACTTATCTTGCGAGTTCTGTGTTTAATCCATTACCACTGTAGTTTTACTCCTTGATTTGGTTTTGCTTCCTAATTCACTGTTTTGAAAAAGTGGCATTTTTAAAGATTCTCGCCACGTATCGAGCTCTGAAATGCAGCACACGGTCCGTTCGTTTAAACTTTTGGAATTTTATTTCACTAATAACTCCCGAACCGGATGCTGCGCGCACAAACGGTTTTTTCGTCTATGTATACGAATTCTTTGGCTACAAAGTATTATAAAGCAATGTAAAAGAGGGTTCGGGAGCGCGCGACAGTAAAAGTTGCCGTAGATGTATACAAATTTGGTGCTGTGTACCGGGCCAAATCCCTTAACGCTTACGTGTTAGTAAAAAATTGGTAACGATGGTTACAGCTTCGAAAATGTCACGAAATTATTCGAAAATCAGCATTCCTGTGTATTACTTTCACTCCACCATTTTGGTCAGACACATCCGAGTAACGATTTTCGCAATAATATTGGGTTACTGACCAGGGCTCGGTCACCACCTCCCCTCTGAGAAAATTGTGAGAATCTTTTGCTCGAAGACACAATAGGTATGGGGAACACTTAAAAAATACTGTCATCGGCACTGGTCCAATGGGCGTGGCCAAACACGAATTTAATGGTTGACATTAATGATGTATTGCCATTGCCGTATTGCTGTACATACAGTAATTATGGTGTTACAGATTACACCGATAATTTACCGAACCAGCTTTCTACAATTTTTTTCAAATTTTAAATTAATTTTTAAAATTTTTGAAATAATTTCAAAGTTATTATTCATTTTAAAATTAAAATCATTCATTTTAAAATTTGAAAAAAATGGTAGAAGCTGGTTGGTACCAAAACGATCTTCATAGTGATGTGCATTTTCGTGCAAAATTTGAAGAGCATCGTTTCTTAATGAGACTTTTGGTACACCTCCGCGCGTTTAAACCTTTGGAATTTTATTTCACTAATAACTCCCGAACCGGATGTTGCGCGTGCAAACGGATTTCACGCTTACCGTCACGGCCTACGTATACAAATCCTTTGGCTACAAAATGTCATAAAGCAATGCAAAAAAGTGTTTAGGAGTGCGCGACAGCGGAAGGTCCCGTGTATGTACCCGAATTTGGTACTATGTACCGGGCCAAATCCCTTAAGACCGAGTTAATTAGAAGAAAAAAATACAGAATGAAGCCTTATAATGTTGTCTGAATACCGCAAACCGCAAAAACGCTCTGCTGAGGCATAATGACCAAAATGTGATCTCTTGTTTCTGGTGTAATAGGCATGATGACTGCCGTACAGTGGACGCCGTTATACCGATAGCTTTATGCATGAATAGCGGTTATCGGTGGAACCACATTTACACTTTTACAGCGTCCATAGTAATAGTCGCCTTTATTCCAAGATCAGATGTACTAGCATCGGGAATACACGGCTGGGCTTCAATTCCCAGCGTCTGGTGTGAGGGAATACAAAGCTCCACAGAGCTGGTCAGGTGCTAGTCGACCGAAAAGTTTGAAAAATTTGCCGACGTAAATATTGCGACGGTTCATTCGTCCACTACTCGTACCTTGTCGATTGTATGTACTTGCCGCATTTCCTGTTGCTTGTCATCATTTTACAAATTTACGTCTGCTTTAAAGCAACTTAAATGCGTACCTAGTTAAAATTTCTGTCATCAGCAATAAGGTAAGTTTAATTTCATATACGTAAGTTATCTATGTTTCGGTCCAGCAGTACCCGACAAAAAGCGAGTGCATTGCCCTAGTAAAAGAAGGACAGATCTGATAAATCGCTAACATGCTCCAGCGTTTCAGGATCTGTTCTGGTCTCGGAGAGTGACGGGCATTCCCGAGCAACGTTGAGTAGATTGTCCGTGTTTGATGATAACAACGTGACATCAACGAAAAATTTGATCTCCTCGGCGTCCATTACGATGCTTTCGCTTGCGGCTGATTGGTCCAGCTTAATCATAATATGCGGGTTGCCATCTCTGTTTGGTTTCAGCGGAACGCTTCTGATTCCGTTTTTATTCAGGGAAGCGTTTCTCAGAGCGCACCGTTCTCCACAAGAAGAATGTTCTTTTTTGATGGTTTTGACTTGCCGCCAGTAATCATCCTGGTCACTCCCATCCCTGACGCCGAGATCATAAAACTTGGACTTGTAGAACAACTGATAAACAAGTTTTGCGTTCAGAAACTTCTCTGAATACAGTTCTCTAAGGAATGTGTGCATAGAAACATCCAGATTGTCCGCATTAATTCTGAAAGGGAGTCCTGATGAAAATAGCTCAATTTCTCGTTTCCCGTCAGACGTTACGATCCGTATTCCGACACCGGCCAGCACGATATCGCCACAACCAATTGGTTCTTCAGCTTCTTCTGCGGTAATTTTTTTCAAGTCACCCAAGTGAGAACTACACAAGAGGAAATCACCATTTGCGTCCTTAAGGTATATGGCTGCTAATAACCGAAGCACTTGTTGCGATTTCTCGTTGTCTTGTTTTTCTTCCAAAAACGGAATGTTTAAGACCTTGTGAATGAACTTCCGCTCCTCTGTTTGTGTGGAAATCTGATCTCCGCTGGAACATTTCCCCGTTAGTCTATCCTTGCATAACTGTTCGTGCATGTCACACCACGTCCATTCGCATAACCAGCATGGCCGGTAATTACAATATCGTTCCCTGAAAGCTGCAATAACCGAAAAACTCGTGAAGGTTAAATCGGGCACATGTTACATACGTATATTGATGAGATGACAAGCACGGCACTCTCTGCTTAGGTTTTCTTAGCTTCCTTAGTTTAATTTTGTTCTTCTATAGGTCTAAAGGTTATCTTCGGTCACTGTAGGTACAAAGTGGGCCAAGTCTTAAAACTTTTAAAAAAACTTTTAAAACTTTTAAAACTTTTACTTCTTCGGTTGCTCGTTATTTCTAGGTCGTTCTTAGGTTATTTTTCAATTATTATTAGATTGCTCTTAGTATTTTTGAAAGATTATGGGACCATCGCAACGTAGTTACATCGAAAGTAGGGTTTCCTTGCCTAAATTAGACCCAAATAAGATTCTGCCGAAACGAACTGCGGCCGAATCGAAAACGGCCGAACTGATCGGTATAGCCATCCGAGCGGCCATGCGGTTCGCTTCTTTTGACTGTTTTACTGTAGCCGCTAGTTAAAATGGCACCACTTTTAGGTAGATGCGACCGCCGCCCGTCCCCTGTCGAACAGCGCACACGTTACGCAGTGCGTCGAGCAGCGTGTGCGCTGTTTTCCGTACACGAGACTCTGTGGTGCCATTTCATCTAGCGGCTACAGTAATGGTAGCACGTCAGTTTATTGACCACCGTTTGCTGCCCGACAATTTGCTGACCGACATGTTGCTGATTAACACAACCTGCTGACCGACAGATTGTTGACCGACAATTCCCTTTTCTCCCGTTCCGCTGCTCGACGGTTTGCGGAAACTCTTTTGTTGATCGGCAGCTTGCTTATCGATCAGGTTGTGGGTTTCTTAGTTTCCTGAGTACTTTTCTTAGGCTTTTAGGTTTGTTCTTGTTTTACTACGTCTTCGTATTCGTTTTGCTTCGCAGTTTTGTAACCTTGGCCGCGTTTTCTTAGGTTTTTAAGGTTTCTAGGTTTTATTTGGTTTTTCTAGGTTTCTGATGTTTTCTTAGGACTTCGTAGGTTTCCTGGGTTCGTACAGGGTTTCGGGAAGATATTTTGTTGGACATCAAAAGTTCGTCAGCAAAGTGTCGGTGTTCAGCAAAATTTCCTATCAGCAAAACGTCGTTCAGCAAGCTGTTGATCGTCATGGTGTCGCTTCAACAAATTGTCGCATAAACGTTTTATAGATCAGCAAAGGTTGTCAGCTAGTCGTCGGTCAGCAAGATGGCGGTCAGCAAACTGTCGATCTGTAAACGGCGGCAATACTAATAATCCTAATAAAAATTTGTCCCATGAAACAAAGGTCTCTCAGTCGAGACGGCCTCGTGGCTGAATGTCTCGACATCCAAACGGCCTCCCGATGAATTGTCTCGCGAGGGATACACTGCCGACTAAATGCCCCGCGATACGTCGCTTGGCGAGATTACCCGGCGGCGAATGTTCGGCCCCTAGTTGTCATAGGCGTAATACCGCGGTGTCACACACATTTTCTACCATACATCTCCCATCTGCAGGGAACAAGATTGCTCCGGGAGAAGAGCTTCTGGGATTTTAGTGGATTACACGGGTGTTGGGAAAGAAATTAAAGTTTTAATGATAGCACTGGTTCTTTGACGACGTTCTGTCAAGTTCTCTAAGGCAAATATACCAACAACGCTAAACTTTTGAAACTTTTGCTTCATTCTGGTCAGTTAGTTCTTACCTAAGCATTTTGAACACTTTTTTCGATGCGACGATTTCCAGGGATTAGTGCCTGCAGTGCCAGGTAAATGATGGATGGCGTAATAGTGAAAAAGCGATACCCAGAACACCCAATCTAATGCTGCTACCATTAAAATAGATGCGGCAATAAAAACACCAAAAAATAAAAACCATTTCGGCAAAAAAGGCAGAATTAGCTTCCGTTCCATGGTTTCTGATGATAACGCTACACAATACACGGGTATAGTCCAGTCGAAAAATTCAACAAAAAGGGCTATGACACAATTAATGAGTGTTATGATCAATATAAGCATTGTCCCACGTCGGCTCAGAATCCCCACAAATGGTGCCGGCAAAAAAATGGAGCACCGTTAGAAAGAACTCCGAACAACAGGCAATAAGACTGTCACTAAATTTACCGTTCAAATGAGATAAGTTAGACGAGGAATATTTGCGTAAGCGCCGGTAAGAGAAAACTAAAAAAATAAAAATCACTAGAATGTCGAATAAAACCATGGCAAGTGATGCTATCCAGTTGAGCCTTGTTAAATGCATAAGGTCAGCAATGATCAATATAATAAAGGATATGTTCAGAGGCGTTGCTCCGAAGACGTTCAGTTTGTTAATAAATAATTCTTCGGCTTCCTCGAATGTTACGTAATCTTTTTCCATAAATAATTTAACATGGAAAGCGCACTTTCTGGGCAACATACTGTAACATGGGAAGAATTTATCAACAGATAGTATAGATGCCATAAATGATAAGACTGCTGCCCAGGACTCACCGTCCTCAAACATTCCCCATACAAATACAATAAATAACTGGAATGCTGATTCATATGTAATCTCTGTGAGGTGGGATTTCTGCAGCCTCATATCCTGAAATTCAACGTCGTTGTTGGGACTATAGTTCTCAATGAATTCATTGGAAGGGGTTTTCCACGCCTGCACAAAGCTTCTTGCACTAAGAAAAGAAAGTCCAAGAAGACTACGCTGCGAAGCATTTGACTTAGAAGTTTGTGTTCTAATCTTGTAGCTCTCTTACCATCGGAAAAAATCAACAAGATACATGTCCAAAATGCAGCCCAAAATGCCATTTTTGGCATAAGAATGCGTATCCTCTAAATTGGTTAGATCCCCTTCTCTGACGAGGAGCGATTCCTCAGGGCAAGGAATCAACTCTTGTCTTGCCAGACGCCAGTTTAAAGATACCTCAGGTGCAATAGTACAGTATTGAAAGGCAAACCATTTAACGACCGACACAATAATCGGTAGAAGCGGCACCGCCGTGATAATAATCATCCACGGCAAACTCGGTCTACACCGTCTCCACAACCAAAGATCAGTTATTAAATTAATATCGGTAGCAACATCAACGATTTGCAGAGTAACGGTGAACACTCCGAAAGATATCAAGCGCCACCATCGTCCGAATGCGTTTTGTGTATAGAATAAATCGGGATAACCTAATAAACAATGAGCAAGCCATTGCCAGAATTGCGCGAAATACCAACGGAAACCCTGCCAGCACTGATTGAAGCACGGCATGGTTCTTTAACCGAATTTGCGGATCGATGTTCTGAAAGCTTGTATCACGTATTACCAGTCATCCAACATTCAACCCCCTTTTTTGCGTCGTGAAACTGCACGATAAATTAGCATGTCAATCTGTGAATGACAATACTGGATACTGGAAAGTAGAAACAAAACTTCACCTGCACTAAAACCGACCTGCAAGTTCTCTGCGATTACGATAACCCTTATCAGCACTTATTGTCTTCACTGCTATCCCATACAATGGCAAGTACCTAATAGCCTTTGCTCTGCTCCCTTTGCTATCGTACGCAACCATAACTTTATCAGACTTTGAAGCGGCAGTAGAAGAGCTCATTGCCATTAATTCGAATTCAATCGCACACATTGATGCCGGGCGGGACGGAGCCGTTAGACAAAAACTGGGGTGCATCAGCCGGTAAAAATGACTGCACTGACATCACGCGGTTGCACGGAACGTTGTCTTGACTGCGTTTTGTTTTCCCACTGCGTTCTGGAAGTCTTCCAGCAGCGTCAGCAAACAGTCTTCCTTGTATGTTGTTTGAATGAGCTTAAATCCAGAGCAAAACAATTTGCCGACTTCAGCCATCACGCCCGACGGCCCCGAATATCATCGCCGTCAATGGCGATTTTTTTTCGGACATGAAAGTGTTTGTAGTCTGAAATAAGGCTGAAATACTAATCATGATAAATTTTTGGGTACTGGTGGCTTAACATGATAAAGCTCCTCCCGCAACTAGGAAATCAAATTGTAGTTACCAAAAACAAATACTAGGCAATTTTATCTGTCAAACGAGCCATAATGTATTTGTGAGCAATTCTCCGTTCACGGGCTACGGTCACTTTTGTGAAACTCCCATTCTGTTAAGCCACCCGGTACATTGCGTTTAAATAATACAGTAGAGGTCTACGAATATATTTGTAATTGTTTTTTTTCTTTTTACCATTTTGCGAGATGCTTGTTGTTATTCGGGGAAATAAATTACTGTATATGCGGGACAGCCGAGACGACGGAGCACCGCAACAAATTTTACACTCAGGCAAAAACCGTTCGGATACGAATTTACGGTCAGGCAGAAACGTCTGGATGCCAAATGTACATTCATAACTCATCCGAAAATCTCCGGCAATACTAATGCATAACAAAGTTTGGAAATTATTATGAAAAAATACTACAAAGTAGGACGTCTCCATATAAAAAGTTTTATATTTATAAGCCTTTACATGCAGAATTTGAAGAAGATCGGTCCAAATTCCAATAATGAGATTTTGGTACTTAAAAGTTTCTCAATAACCGATCACTTTTGTATTCGCATTTATCACCGACGGGTTTAGATTTCACGAGGGTACAAAAGGGTTTTTGCAACGAAACCCAAAAAATAGTACGAAAGCTTGCATTCAAAGTTCTTGTACCTTAATGAAGTTTATGTATTTTTTTACGTATTTCATACTTTGCATTTAAATTATCTTTACGCGTAAAATGCATGAATATGTATTAGTAATTGTCGCAACTTTTACCTAAAGGTCACATGCTAAGCAGTACCAATTAGGTACCTTCAAAAAATTCGATTGCGCGGGTTATTAGTTGTGCGAAATGTACAGCGAAAGTGCTCGGATGGTTATGGTTTAATTCTGGCTACACCATGTCATAAAGCAGTGCAACAAGTGTTTGGGAATGCGCGACATCGAGAGTTTCCGTGGATGTGAAAGAAATTAATACCATGTACTGGTCACTTCCGTAAGTTCCGTTATAACTCCTGTCGCGAAAGTGTTTCCCATAAGCCGGACTATCGAAGTGCTCAAGATTAATGAGCGACTATGTATGTACTTTATAAGTACTTAATTATGTGCTTATACTTGCCGGCAACTCTTACCGCTCGTTTATGCGGAGAAAACAGCGCTGTTCGCAACCGCATTCACATTACCTGACGCTACTCATCACTTGTGAAACAGGTTATTAACCAACACAGTTACGAGTATTACGGACAATGCTGTGCTCGTGCAGACACGAGTTGCGGCACGAATACACTGAAAATTACGAGTATACGTTACGCTGTACTGGATTTACTTTGGCATGAATCCATCAACACAGCTGGTAGCCTTTTAAGAATTCTAACGAAGTAATACCGATATAGCTGATTGATTAGTGTTTCTATCGGTGCTACTGTGAAATGAACAACAGAGTTAGTGAAGTACACGCTTGTCCGTATCCGGAGGCGGTTGACGCCGTATAAAAATACGCAACCAATGCCGGTTTCCATCATTTAGTTGCTAGTACAATTTTTGATTACAAACGTTTCAAATCTCATCTGTAAAACGCTGGGTCGCTTCGCTCGTCTGCTGTTTAGTGTTCTCCATAAATCCGCAATACGCCATGATGGCTTCATCCGCCAGCAACGGTTCGTTGGGATTTCTGTGCTCCCTGGCCGAGAACCAGAACCCGTGTGGATTGTGGATTGTCTGCAACCTGCCGACGATTATCGGCGTAGTGGGCGGTGCCCTGCTGGGCTGGTTCCTCTACCCGTACGTGAAGCATTTCATCGACGGTGACGATGAGAAGGTATCCGATTCGCCGGAGCTGGAGTCTTTAAGCGCATCGCCCAGTCAAATTCGCCTGGTCCGCCAGTGCAGCGAGACGTGGGCGCGGCTGGACGCGGAGGATCAGCAGCGGGCGGAGCGCTTCCGGGCGGAAGTGCTGCACGTCTGCGCGCGCTATCAGCAGCGCGGGGCCGCGGTGCGCGCCTTCCTGGAACAGACCGCGGATTGGGCGGAAGCAGCCGATGCGGCACGCTAGCGCCGTGGTGGGTCCATACAACGTTTACATATACAATGTACATGCCTCGTTCAACCGCATATGGCGCGGGTAAGCGCTTCTCTGTTCGAACCCCATTTACATGCGCACTGAATACCTAGTTTGTGTTCCGGATGTACAGTGCTTGTTGATTTTATTAGTACGTTTTTTTCTAACCGCTTACTGACTGTTGTGCAGTCCTACATTATAGATTCATAAATCGCTACGTCTTTATTCCAAGACAATTACCTCCTGATTCGAGATTCAACCTTTGCAGTTATTATAATTTTAATAAAACTAGTTTGTAACATGTTTGTTAGGAAATTAATAATATTATGTAGCGTTACTCATTGTGAATGTGTGACTTAATATCTGATCATATGCAGCCAGTATCTAATAAATATGACACATACCTATGGGCTAAGTCCTTTGTCTATGACTGTGTTAACCGTACCATGAGTGGTACTTGAAGCCATGTCACAAAGATGTATTCCTTGAACATCGTGTACCAGTCATCTAATGAACAATGTGGCGGAAATTGTATTGGTTCGTTAAAGGATACATGTAGTCAGTACATTATCCAATATACAGTCTTTTGTATCCACTGCATTTTATCGATGTTGGTTCCCAGTAAGTTGTTTTGAAAAAATTGTCGATCGTCTGGCATTCAGAGGAATTCTTGGAAATTTAGTACTGTAATATTGTATAATGTTTGGAAAGTTCTATATATAGAAAGGTCAACAATAGCCGCAGATTTCTTCTGAATTTGCGTGACGAATTCAATGTACTTTGCAACACGAAAGATAACAATAATTATAAAGACTGTCTGGACTGATGCTCCATTGCTCATACGTACGGGACTTCCATAATCGCGAAGGCATCATACCCATGCAATTTACAGAATTTTCAAACATTTCTAAAGATTTCGGAATATTACATTTGCAAAGCGCTGTTTGGAAGTATTTATTGAATTACCTCAAAAATTTGGAATTCTTCATTTTTAAAAATTTCTAAGCATTTCAAAATATTTCCAATATACTCTCCATTTTAGCATTTCTTCCTTTGAAAAGAAAATTAAAAATTGATAAGGAATTCTAATTAATACAGCAGCACACCTAGTTTTGCAGTTATATGCAGTAATACGCAATACCATATTTCAGACGGATCTGGTCGCGTTAGTTTGTGGATTAGAAAGTTCCAAAAAAGGTCAGTTGCAGCTAGGTCTGCTATTTGTTTTCTCAAAAAGATTTTTAACAACAAAGTCAACAACATGTAAAGGGCGTTCCCAAATTTCCCATTTTACGCGCTATTCTATCTCCCGAGCAATTATGGTTTTTGTTAGACTTAAAATGAAACTTAAAATGGTGCGGTCGATACAAGAGGCGGCCAGCGTGTCAACACAGGTAACATCCACGGCCAGCGGCTTTCCGCGCGCCCATGGTATAAGGGTGACCACATCCGGGCTTTGTTTTATCTTTTAAGGATAGACCTTTGGGTTCCATTCTCGAGGGGAAGCCGGCTGACCGAAAAACCTGGAACGTCTGCCTGGCGACGCACTCTGGATATCGGAAAATTTCCGATATTCGTGTTTTGCCGGAAGAAGTGGCACACCTCACACCGATGTCAACACCGGAGTGGGGAACGTGGCTGGCTGGAGCGCACGCATTTCCCGCGGTCTGCCTCGGCAACCCGGTTGGGAGACACCACATAATCAAGGTTAATGTCGCTCGTCGAATCGCTGCAACAATTGCAGAGATGGCAGCGGCCGACCGAGAGCCGACCTAGCCGGCGATTGGGCAGCCGGCTGAGGAGTTTTGCAAGCCATAGTCGATGCCAAGCAGGCTGGGAGCTTCAGCCCGCGATAAGTTAGCCAGCTAAGGATTTCAGCCGGCCGTCAGCCGAAAGATCAGCCGCTTAGCCGGCCGCTGCCATCTCTACCTGATTGTGATTGAGCAATACTTGTGTTTGCGGCTCTCCAGCCGATAAGCTAGGTAGACATGGCCTCCGGTGTAAACGATCAGCCGGTGCGTATACCTGTACTCGATGGTCTCAGCGCCATCCTTCTGTACTTCTGGATTAGAATCCGCCGGCTTTCCGTCTAGAACCGATCAGCGTACGTCACGCTTTTCAAATTCACAATCCCAATACCATTTCCCAGTGGTATTGGCGCTCGAGCTCGTGCAATAATGTGGTTCGCAACCACCGCTAGTAAAGTGCTGACTGCATTTTGTTGACTATCTGGTAAAATATTTCACTATTTTGGCGGCGAATACGTACAAGTATGGATTTTTCGAAGACGGTTCGGTACAACCGTATAGAGAACTCACATC